ATTCCTGAATGTATTGGACCAGTGCCCCAAACTGGAGGTGGACATCCCACTGGTGAAATCCTACTTAGCACAGTTTGCAGCACGTGCCATTATTTCAGAACTGGTGAGCATTTCCGAACTGGCTCAACCACTGGAAAGTGGCACCCATTTCCCTCTCTTCCTGCTTTGCCTTCAGCAGTTAGCTAAGTTACAAGATCGTGAATGGCTAACAGAATTGTTCCAACAAAGCAAAGTGAATATGCAGAAAATGTTACCAGGTAAGAGTTACCACATAGCTCTTATGTCACTTCATGTTCATGTATGTGAGATGTTTTTTCCTTTAGTTTTTTACACCAGAGTAAAGTAACAAGGCTATTCTGACGCAATCAACTGTTGTGATTCTTAAGAGGTGGTTAGACCCATGAACCATGGATTATAAGTTTTGATTAGCACCAGTACTTAAGTGTGTTTGTCTTATTCATTTGTCAGAAATTGACCAGAACAAGGACCGCATGCTGGAGATCTTAGAAGGGAAGGGGCTTAGCTTCTTGTTCCCGCTTCTGAAACTGGAGAAGGAACTGCTAAAGCAAATAAAATCGGATCCATCCCCTCAAGCCATCTATAAGTGGATTAAAGATAACATTTCACCCAAACTTCATGTAGATAAGGGATTTGTGAATATATTGATGACCAGGTGAGATGCTATCTTGATGTAGTTTAGGTGCATTTTGTTAAGCTACCACTAAGTCACTAATTCTATGAAGGCTGATGTGTAGCTCTGTACAGAAAAATACGCAGTGTGCAGGGAGTTAAACTGTTCTGGGTGGACCTCCCCTGTAATGAAACACCCATTGTATTTCAGAAGAAAAGCAAGACTCCAGGTTTTCATCGATGTGAAGTGTTGTTTTTGCTTGGGAAGGAGAAATCTAGACCTGTGTTTGAGCTGTAACAGAAGCAAAACCAGGATTTTTTTTTGTGGTGCAGAGTCAAGCACAATCCTAATCCACCATGCATGCACCTAACCGCTGATAGAAGCGGGAGGGCATTTTTAGTAATAGCTGGCAAACTGAACTTGAGAGTATTTGTCTTCCTGTTTTAGAACATGAAATCTAGCAGCTTATCGGGTTACAGAACTTAGCTTTTTTTTTTTGTCCAGTTTCTTGCAGTATATTTCTAGTGAAGTAAACCCACCTAGTGACGAATCGGATTCTTCATCTGTTCCATCTAAAGAGCAGTTAGAGCAGGAAAAACAACTGCTTCTTTCCTTCAAGCCGGTAATGCAGAAGTTCCTCCATGACCATGTTGACCTGCAAGTGAGTGCTCTGTATGCACTCCAGGTGCACTGCTACAACAATAACTTTCCAAAAGGTATGTGCACCAAGGCCTTATCCAAAACCTAACTTGTGTCTGCTTGTTTGTGTCTGTGTATGGCTCTCAGGCTTGTCACTGCATTTCTGAGAGTTAAGCAAGCTGTTCATAAGGTTGTAATGGTAACAGTTTAAATGTACTTCTACAGGCATGTTACTGCGCTTCTTTGTTCATTTCTATGACATGGAGATCATTGAAGAAGAAGCCTTCTTGGCATGGAAAGAAGATATTACTCAAGAGTTTCCAGGGAAGGGCAAAGCTTTATTCCAGGTAAACTTGCTAAGACGAGAGGAAAGATGTGTCATTTGTGATTTCTGCTGCACTGGAGTAAACACTTCCAAACAGTGTTTAAGACTTCTAAATACCTAAAAACTTTGTGGAGTCTTTCACTAGGAAGCAGTGAGGTGAGGTGAACTAAAATGTTATTCTTTACTAGAGATCAATATTTAGCACAAAGTGTGGCTGAAAAACTTTTTTTTTTAAATGAGTTGGGGGAAAAAATCAGTGTTCTGTATAAGTAGGATATAGTGGGGAAGTAAGTCCTGCTGCCTTACACCAATTTTATGTAACTGCAGGTAAACCAATGGCTAACCTGGCTGGAAACTGCTGAAGAAGAAGAATCTGAAGAAGAAGCTGACTAAAGAACCAGCCAAAGCCTTAAATTGTGCAAACATACTGTTGCTATGATGTAACTGCATTTGACCTAACCACTGCGAAAATTCATTCCGCTGTAATGTTTCACAATATTTAAAGCAGAAGTATGTCAATAGGGTATCTTCTGCAAAAGGTTTTGTAGTATGTCTTAATAGTCAACAATAAAAATATTTTAGAGTATCTTTAATGTTTAGGTAACAGTGTATTAGCAGCATGCAATAATTACATCATAAGTTCTCGAGCAGAAGCAGTCTGTTGCAAGGGTCGTCTTTGCTGCCAGTTATCATAGGCTGTTTTTAAGTTAGAAAACTGAATAGCAACACTGAATACTGTAGAAATGCACTTTGCTCAGTGTAATACTTGAGTTGTTGCAATATTTGATTATCCATTTGGTTGTTACAGAGAATCCTTAACTGTAATCGATGGTTGTTGCCGTAATAGTATATTGCCTGTATTTCTACCTCTAGTAATGGGCTTTATGTGCTAGGTTTTAATATCCTTGAGCCTGGGCAAGTGCACAAGTCTTTTTAAAAGAAACAGTTTACTTGCACAAAATCTGATCAGCTGAAGAGATGGTTTAATGCCCTTTGGAAGAGGTTTTTGTGGGTGTGAAACATGACATGGTGAGAAATTTGAATTGGTCCCTCTATTATAGTACTGAAATTAAGTCTACTTAATTTATCAAGACATGTTCATGCCCTGATTTTATATACTTGTATCTATCAATAAACATTGTGATACTTGACTTGTTTCTGAATGTCTCCCAGTAGAAAAGCTTTGACTGATGACAAGCTTACTTATGGAAGGAAACATCAGTGGGAGTTGACTTAGACTGGGACCATCTTAAGATTCTCTTTATAACAAATTGTCCTAACATGCAAATGAATTCTAAATACAGTCACAGACAAGATTAGACACTACAGATTTGCTGTGACAGGAGGAAAATTAAAAGAAATTCTGCTGAAGAAATGGTAGGAGTTTGCCTTGTGGTCCAATGTACGCTTTATCAGTGAGTATGTGCTTTTTAACTTCCTAATGCTTTGAACTTTCCCCAGGTCACATGCATGTCATTTTAATCAAGTGGCACTGACCATCAGCTGCCAGTTTCTCAAATCAGCAAAAACCCCCATGAAACAGTTCAATGATGTTGCATTGTACAGGCTTGAAA